TTGCTATAATCGAAGCATTGAAACTATAAACAAAGCACAATACTTACCATCAACAACAGCAACCTCAGGTTTATAGGAAGCTGTTTGTAAAACTGTGCCCATTATAAGAGGCAGGTAAGGGGCGAACTCCTTTCCAAGTACCTACAATTATCCATCAAAAAACTACTTTATCTGGCAATAAACTCCAACAAACTCACATACCTTACATATTCGGGTCCAACTACAAATCATATACGAACACTGCGGATCATCGGAGCTCAAAGTGGGCATCTGATCTTTCAGTAGATTCATGATAGCAAGTGCATCATCACGGAACTTGTCCTTTCCAACAGCAACTCCAATAAGAGAGAGGGACTCCAATGTCTTTCCTCGAAGAACCTGAACACAAGACGATAATTTCTAACAGAGCATCGCAAACAGCCACGAAGAAAATTGGTCAACCTTGTACTCATCAGCAGTCGAGTTTACAAGTATGAACTTCAGCTGAGGAACGAGGCGATCATAGAAGTCAATGAACAAATCTTGCGCAGCATCAGCTACAGATGCAATGGCGGTGGTAATCTGTTGTTGATTTGATTGAGAAGTATGGCAGATGATCTGATATAAAGGTGCAGAAAATTTCTCAAGTATGTACCTGTTCGCAGCAGAGTTTCTTTCCAGCCGTCTGCAATCTTTGGAATGCACATCCCAAAGATTGCTCTAAACCGGTCATGATGGCAGGAAGGTAGGCAGAGATAATCTAAAAGAATGGATATAGCGCAATTCAACCATTAAAGACCATCAAATAAAACAAAGATGATAAATAATTAAACAGTTTTAAAAATGATGATCTTAACAGAAGTCGACGGCATGTCGGATTTGGTTGTTTTATCACCTGTTTAGGGCAATCCTCGCAAAAATTGATGAGAGCAGCAGCTGCATGGGCAGAAACGCGGGCGCATGAAGCATCCATCATTGTATTCATCAATGCTGGAACTACCTACAAAACTGAGCAACAATAACCTAAGAAAAAATCGAAAAGCAGATTAAAATGAAAGGCTCACCATTTCATGACATTTCTTCTGGAGCGTTGGAGCGAAATCTGATGACATCTGTCCTATAGCGTTGCATGCAGCGTATCGAACACGAG